TCTATCCGCCTCCCACTCTCTCCCTATTTATTTCAAAACCCCCTTCCCCTCCCCCTTTTCTGATGAAGGGTCTAGGCCCGAAACGTCAGCCTCTCTGCTCCTATGATGCTGCTTGGCCTGCTGTGTTCATCCAGCCCTGCACCTTGTTGTCTCGGATTCTCCAGCATCTGCATTTCCTACTATCTCTAAAAAAAAGGTAGGTGTCTTTAAGGCATTTTTGAGATCTTGAATTTGTTGATGCCGAATGATAATGAGATGGGATGGTTGTGGCAGAGTTGGTCTGGGGAGGAATTGTTCTGCTAAATTCAGGTTGAAGGACAGAAATATTGTATGGGGGAGAGGAAAAAGACTTCAGGTTTAAGTTAAATTTTGCATATGAGCAAACTAATTAGGAGAAGGAGTAGGTCATTCAATTCCTTAAGCTAGATTTCTATCATACTCTAATTCTCTGTTCCTATTAAATTTTTCATCATTCTTTGTTGTTCTTTGTATTCTATCCAATCTTCTGATTTGCCAGAATTGTACACTATTTTTTCTTTCCATTTGATCCAATTCTTAACCTAAGTAGTTATTACTTGAAACATAAAAAAGGGCACTAGTCTTACATCCATTCTTTCTCCCTCAAACTGAATGATATTCAATCATATCACGATCACTAGTACTAAGGAGAACCCTCATTGTGACATCATTAATTAATAATTTTGTCTCATTGTACATTATCAGACCTAGAATAGCATGCTCTCTAAATAACTATCCTGAAAACACTCATCATCCAGGCTACCTTTGCAAATCTGATTTGTCCGACCCAGATGTAATTTAATATCATTTAATTATTGATGTAACTTAGTCATAAATCTCCATTTTCTGTTCCTCTATACCCCATCCTATAGTGTAATTACTATTAGAGGGCCTATATGCCACAGCAACATCTTATCTCTACTATTTCTCATCACTCACCAAGTCAGTTGTACGTCTTGGTCTCCAGAACTAAGTTTGTCTCTCTCTGTTTTGTTCTAATGCCATCCTTAATTAACAGTGCTGCCCTTCCACCTTTTCCTACTTTCATATCCTACTTTCATTTCCTTAGAGCAGATTAGACTGAGCGGGGGGGGACATGATTGAGATGTATAACATTATGAGGGACATAGACAGGGTAGACAGAAGGACCTTCTCCTCTTGGTCAAGGGATCAGTGACCGGAGGCACAGATTTAAGGTTAGGGACAAGAGAATTGGGGGGAAGTGAAGAAAAATTTTTTTTTTTTTCCTCCCACCCAGAGAGTGGTGAGAATCTGGCACTTACTGCCTGTAAGCATGGTAGAAGCAGAAACCCGGACCCGAAATGTTAACTCTGTTTTCTCCTTCACAGATGCTGCCAGACCTGCTGAGCTTTTCCAGCGACTTAGTTTTTGTTCCTGATTTACAGCATCCACAGCTCTTTTGGTTTTTATGGACAAAGCAAGTTGTTTTGTACTCCATTTCCCTTGGAGTAATTTAAAATGAATACGTGATTTGGAATAAAATTTAGGCTGTGGTAATTCTTATCCGTGCAATCTGTGGTTGTATTAAATTATAATCTTTGTTACAGTGGTAATGGTCTCCATTGGTGTAATTGTATTGCAGATCGGTTTGTAACCTCACTTAATTTGCATATCACAAATATTTATAATGATTATAGTTAAAGTTTAAGATATGATTTTCTTCAGCCAGCAACACCGACACGCACAACGATAGCAACAACTCCTATCCAGTCGGTTCAGCAGAGCCAGTCGACACCAAAGCGCGTAGATACTCCAAACATAGAAGAACCTAGTGATCTTGAGGAACTTGAACAGTTTGCCAAGACGTTTAAACAGAGACGTATCAAACTCGGGTTCACTCAGGTGCTGAATTTTTTTTATAAGTGAGCTATAATAACAGTTTGCAAATAATTTATTGACATTTTTGAATTGTCCAAGATGTTGTTATTAAATTAACAAATGTTTCAAAATATTGTTAATGGAATAAAAATTAATATAAAGCCATAATGTTTCAGTAATGGGCATATTTATGAACATGATGGTTTTCTTTTGATATTTCATGTACAAGACATTTTAAGTATTTACTGAGTGTACAAATGCTTAAGTTGCAGTGCCAAACGTGTCTGTCGTACTCAATATTTTTAACCCCGCAAATATTCTTTACAATTCACTAATTCTAAACTTAAGAACATGGGGTTTGGACTTCTAAGTGAGATGCAATTCAAAATCAAATCAGTTAAAATTTATCAGTATGTTTTTAGATTTGTCCAGAAATAACATTTATGATGGTTGAAAGATTGAGCACACATCATATGGATTTTCTGCGATCTGTCAGTCAGAATTATGTGACAGCAAAATTGTCAGCACTTGCCATCATTACTATTGTGACACCAGCAGCAACTTTTGGCATCAGTACATCTGCAGTTAACTGTGAAAATCCGAAAGTTGTTGGTAATTTCCTGCTTTTCCACACAGTATACTGTTGAAGATCCTTAAAATGAATGCCTAAAATCAAGTGAATTTATACAAATTTATATCCTATGGAAAATACTTTATGACAGTTGAGTCTCTACTTCAGTATCATGTGTTTGATCCAATTCTTATTTAACTTTCTGCAAAACAGTTAAAAAGTAAAGGATAATTATTGTTTTTCTTTTACTTCCTGGTTTTTGTCTGTGAGAATTCGTGTTTGATTGCTTAGTCTGCTGGATGCCATCGCTGTTGCTGAATAGCAAAGATCCCCTTGAGCTGATGCTAGAATCATTATAACTTCAGGAAAGACAACACAGACTGAGATTGCTAGATCTTTGTCAGAAGCGTTCATCAAGGTCAGCAATGAGCACCATCATTTTGCCACTGACCACAACATCCGAGCTTTTAACTATTTCAAATTGCAATTACTAGTCTGTTGATGAATTCCTAAACATAATGCACCATAGGAATTTGCCTCCCATTTTCTCCTTTTCTGAAAGGAGGTAGCCTTTATCTGGTCTTACTCTAGACCATCAGCAACCATCTTGGTGACTTGACAAAGTGGCAATCATGCTAGAGTCGACTATGTATTTGTAAACTCTTCCAAGCCAGAATAGATAATTTTGTTCCTTTTGCCATCTGACTAAAATAAGGTATGTGAGCAAACTTTACCTTTATAAGGATAAACTTCTATTTAAAGGAGATTTGTAGCTAAAAATATGTCTTCAATGTCAGTATATACTGCAAAATGAGAAATATCATTGAAAATTATTTTACACTCAGCTTACAGCTTCCATAAATGAATGCTTAGTTTTGAGTTGTGTCCTTAGATTAAGTCATGCTTGAATAGACATTGGAAAGTGTAGTTGTCTCCATTAATTAACAATATTGGGATTAATCAATGAGAACATGATGTCATTTCATACATGAAAATTATTGACTTTTTAAAAAATACACAAATTTCCCGTAAGTTGATATTGCTGTTTTGTGGCATTGTAACTTGGAAAATCAGGGAAACTGGTCATATTTTTCTAGATATAATCTTGCATGTACATTTCATTTTTTGTATAATTGGTGAAATGGATGAAAAGACATCAGCAAAAATGTACTTCTGATTAAGATTTGTACTTTTAAAACATGGATTCAGTAAATGTGTTTATACAGACTTTCTGTTATTTGAGCTATTTGGTAAGAGTTTCAAACTCATGACCCAAATTCTCCTATCCTGTCACTAAAAGAGGAAGAAGCATATTGGTGACTGCTGTAGCAAGGGAGAATGTTTGTTCCCTAGACATTGGTTCTCATTCTTGAAATTTGATCTATTTTAAATTGTTTCTCATCTTGGTTATGCTAACAGTAGAGTGTTGGATGATCATGAACTACTTCATAGTTATATTTCCTTATCTTGCTCATTGTTCATCAATGAATAAAAGATAGGATCAACTATGTCACTGCTTTGTTCAGTTGAGCAAATATAATTCAGTTGCCAACTATAGACTCTTCAAGAATAACTGTCCAATGTGTATCTGATTGCATTTTGGTATTTGTTATGCATGGGTTCAGTATGGAACTGTCCTGTTTACATTTTTATATAATTTTATTTCTTTCTGTCTATCTCTTAACAGGGTGATGTAGGTCTTGCCATGGGAAAACTCTATGGAAATGATTTTAGCCAAACCACAATCTCTCGTTTTGAAGCCTTGAACCTCAGCTTTAAGAACATGTGCAAGCTCAAACCATTGCTTGAAAAGTGGTTAAATGATGCAGGTTTGAAAGTTTTCTTTCCCCCTGTTTTTTCTCGTACAATTCCTAAGTTGAGAATCAATTGATTGAAGAATGCTGCCGGGAAATATTCAAATTTGCACTTAATTTTCATTTTCATAAATTTGTACTGGCCTGGAAAGACATCTTGCAGCTTTAGGGAAGAAACCTGTTCACATCCTCCACAAACCTGATCAAATCTAGTTTGATAAGTTCTTGGGAACTTAGGTACCAACATAACAGGATGCTTGCAACTCCAACAACACTCAAGGCCCTCAACACCATTAAAGACAAAGCAGTCTGTTTGATTGGTGTCCCATCCACTAACACACAGAGGCAGCAGTGTGTATTACAGTGAAATTATGATGAGTCAAATTCAGATGACCCAAATTTCAGCCATTCATGCCAGCAGAACAAGAAAACCGATAGAAGTATGCCCGTTACAACCCAAAGTTCCTGACTGGTAACTCCAGATTAGCTGAACTCACGTGCACTTCTCATGACTGCATGAACCAACTGGAACAGAATTAGGCTATACTATAGCACAAGATCAGAGGCAAGCTATCATTTGCTGTAGAGATTTTTTTTCCCCACAGGGTGTGGTTGGTGTGTGGAATAAACTTACAATGGAAGTGGTGAATCAGGTACGGTTACAATGTTTAAAAGACATTTGGATATGTACTTGAATAAGAAATGTTTGAAGGGATATGGGTCAAGCACAGATAGGTGGGATCAGTTTAGTTTGGGATTATGGTTGGAATGGACTGATAGGATCAAAGGGTCTGTTTCCTTACTTTATGACTCTGAGCCCTCTCTCCGTAAAAGGGCATTCAAACCCGCAAGTAGAGCTCAATATGTGAGAAACATAAATTGCTGTTGAATGGCGAAAAATTATAGATGCAGGAAATGGAAAATTGTGGTGTGGAGCAAAATGAGAATGGCTGCCCATCCTGATGTTGAAGATGCTCTGCTAATGTGGTTCAAGTCAGCTTGAGTAGAAAACGTTCCCACTTCCAGTCCAAACCTGCCGGGAAAGGGAATCATTCTAGCAAAGAAGCTTTAGAATTAGATTGTATTGTCACATGTACTCAAGTACAGGGATGCAGGAGTACAATGAAAAGTGTACAAAAGGTTCGCCTGCATTTATGGATGGCTGTAGACAAGGTATTGCATCCTATTCTACATGGTAAGCAGAGAGGATGCAACAGTTATGGGAGCAATGACAGATGATTGACATCACTGGCCTCAAGATTGTCAAACTGAATTTCTTGCCTCTTAGAACCATGGGGCATGTTCTAGCAAATGGATCAGTGATTAAGAACGTTAAACCAACTATGGATGGCAGGTGCTCTGTCTGGTTATTGTGGTTTTCAATAAGAAGCATGAGTACAATCTAGCTGTTCTAGAGGCCGTGTTTGTGATGGGCAAGAGCCAATTTCACCAGTGCTTCAGCCACAGTGGGTTTAAATAGGCTACAAGTGCACAACATACCAAAACAGAGGGACAGGGTGACAGTAACTGTCCCAAAGAAGAGACCCTTTCACGCAACTGCAGGAGGCTGTCATGGAAATTCCTTTGGAGTCAACCAAGGAAACTTGTGGCAAAGTGGACAATACCAGACCCTTACAATGGCACTGGCAGATGATGATGTGCATTTTGTGCATTCTTCAGCTGAGGAACCCAAGGTGCAGATGGCCTTGAAAGAGTCCACTGAATGGTCCCCACCCCACCGCACCCCAACTCACTTGCCTTGCTGAAGTCGCAAAAGTCTAGAGAGACTCCAGGATTTCACAATGTAGCATGAAAACACAGAAGAAATGTTTGACTACATTGATGACATGCTAGACTGTACTGGACTCGTCTAAGGACAGCATGTTAAGCAGAAACAATTACTGAGTTTCCCCAGAGCTAACACTCAACATTTTTCGATGGCTTTTAGTGTACAAGGTCAGGTATTTGTAAGGTGTGAATAATTTGAAATACGTATATTTTTCATATTTACTGTGGCACTGTTTTTTTGGCTCTTCTTTGACATGGAACATATTTGTAGGAAATTGGGTCACAGAGGCTTCATTAGCTATCTCAACATTCCATCTAACATGAATTTGTGAATTGGCCTCCTGCGATTTGACTTAACGTGATTTCACTGCATATACAAGATGCACTGCAGTAAGCCTCCAAAATTTCTTCCAAACCTGTTACTTCTACTACCTAGGAGGACAAGAGCAGCAAATGCATAGGGTCACCGTGACCTACAAATTGCTTTCCAAGCTATACATTCTCCTGACTTGAGACTAGATCATGCTTCCTGCACTGTTGCCAGATCAAAATCCTGGAGCTCCGTAACTAAACTATGGAATATGAACTTCAGATGGACTGCAGCAGTCAAGAAGGTTGCTCACTTTCATCATCTCTGTGACATCTAGGGATGGGCAACAAATGCTGGCTTCAACTTGAAAGAAGGAAAGAAAACAAATCTGAAAATATTTTTACATCTTGCCTGGCAACTCGGTTGAGGTGTTGCAGTGCATTTTCCACATTTGACCATTGGAACACATTGCTTCCATCAAAACTGGTAACACTGAGCCAACAGAAATCAACTGCACAGTGTAACAAGTTGCCAGTTTACTTGTGATTCATGAAATGTATTGATCGGGAGCTGTTGAATCTCATTCCAAGTTCAACATTGGACATGACAGAAAAGTAAACAATAATAGGGGAGGCAGCAGCATAATGATGATGTCACTGGGCTGGTAATCAAGGCTAATGTACTGGGAACATGTAGAATTAAAAGTTAATCCGATGGTTACCATCGTTGATTTGTCATTTTAAAAAAAACAAACCCATCTGGTTCCTTTTGGAAGGAAAAGGTGCAGTCATTACCAAGTCTGACCTCTGTGTGATATCAGGCCCAAAGCAATGTGGCTGGATCTTAACTATTCTCTGAATTGCCTGTCAGTTCTCCAAATCCTCCTTACCAACATCTGGGAGCTTGTGCCAGAGTTTGGAGAACTATCTTACAAATTAGTCAAGCAACTGCCTGGCATAGTCAGAACCGTAGCATACAGACAGGGTCCTAGATATCTTCATTGCTTTCCGTAAAGGTACATTCTGTCCTGGGGACACCCACCAGAGATGATGAAACAATGATATACAGTCATGAAGAAGTCCTCAACCTCTGAGCTCTCATGGCATCTGGTCAACCCCTCCAGTTATGTCACTATTCACTGAGCTGCTTGAGTCCTAAAGGACATAGCTCCTAGACTAATCTGCAGCAGGTGGTGCTAAAACCAAAAAGAAGGAAAAATCTACTTGATTTAGTTGGTTAAAGAGTCGTTGCATCTACTTTTCCGGTCATTATTTTAATTTGGCTTACACATCACAAAAAGGAACAAAAACAAAGTAAATGTTTGTTTACTGCTGAGATCTGCTGAGCTTCTCCAGCAGCTTTGTTTTTATTCCTGATTTACAGCATCCGCATTTCGGTTTTTACATCACAGAAAGGCCTGTGTTCAAGTCTCACCTGCTCTAGAGGTGTGTCATGACACACCTGAACAGGTTGTTTAAAAATATCTATATGCACCCAGTGATGTTGTCACATAGAAAATAGGTGCAGGAGTAGGCCAATCGGCCCTTCGAGCCTGCACCACCATTCAATTTGATCGTGGCTGATCATGCAATTTCAGTATCCCATTCCTGCTTTCTCCCCATACCTCTTGATCCCTTTAGCCACAAGGGCCACATCCAGCTCCCTCTTGAATATACCTAATGAATTGGCCCCAACAACTTTCCGTGGTAGGGAATTGCACAGGTTCACAACTCTGTGAGTAAAGAATGACTTCCTTACCTCAGTCCTGAATGGCTTACCCCTTATTCTTAGACTGTTGACCCCTAGTTCAGGACTTGACCAACATTTGGGAATGAGAACATTCTTCCTGCATCTAGCCTGTCCAGTCCCATCAGGATTTTATGTTTCTATGAGATTCCCACCTCATTCTTCTAAATTCTAATGAATACAAGCCCAGTTGATCCCACCTTTCTTCATATGTCAGTCCTGCCATCCTGGGAATCAATCTAGAGGACCTTTGCTGGGCGCCGTCAATAGCAAGAATGTCCTTTCTCAGACTAGGACACCAAAACTGCACACAATACTCAAGGTGTGGCCTCACCAAGGCCGTGTATGACTGTGGCAAGACGTCCCTACTCCTATACTCAAATCCTCTGGCCACAAAGGCCAGAATGCTATTAGCTTTCCTCACCATGTGCTGCACCTGCATGCCAACTTTTAGCAACTGTTCTACCATGACACCTAGGTTTCATTGCACCTTACCTTTTCCTAAGCTGCCACCAATCAGATAATAATCTGCCTTCCTGTTTTTGCAACCAAAGTGGATAACCTCACATTTATCCACATTATATTGTATTTGCCCCCTCGGCCAGTCTGTTCAAGTCACCCTGCAGCCTCTTAGCATCCTCCTGCCACCCAGCCTAGTGTTGTCTGCAAATTTGGAGATATTGCATTCAGTTACATCAAAATTAACAATAACTGTCACCTATTCCCTAGTTCTATTTGGCTTCAAGCATCCCTGCCAAACCCTACGCGATAATAATGCCAGTAATTCAAAACTGAATGTCCTTGAGGCACTGTAAGTCATCACTGTAAGTATTTGACCACATTCTGTAACCTCATGGCCCAGCATATCTCCTGCTGTACCATTACCATCAAGCCTGGAGATAATCCTGGCTCAATGAAGCGTGCAGGAAAACACACCAGGAGCAGCACCAGGCATACCTAAAAATGAGGTGAAACTACATCACTGGACTACTTTCATGTCAAATAGCAGAAGCAGCATGCATTAGGCAGGACTATACAATCTCATAAACCAATGGGCTAGAGCTCAGTTCTGCAATCCTGCCATATCTGTTTTATGAATAGTCATAGATAGTTAATGAACAGGAGATGAAGGGTCCACAAAAATCCACACCCTCAACAATGGCCAAAGTCAACAAGAGA